AAAAAAAACTCGCAGCAGGATAAAATACAATTACTCGACAGCTGTGAACGGAACAGTCGCTTTATTAGTGTTGCTTGTTGTTTTCTGAACAACAATGGGGACATTAGATAGTCAAAGTAACAAATAACAGAGAGCGACTTGACAATCCACCAAAAAAGTCGGGAAAGAAAAAGAGATTCAAAAGTACTTTGTTCGATTTATAAACATGAACTTACATAGTCAAGATACCATTTCGGCGGTTTCTCTGCTCCAGGTACATGGCCAATTCGCAGCGTCGACAAAACGCCGAGATTTTTATGCTAAAATCGGTAACCTTGCAAAACTACAGCTTCACAAAAAATTAATGGTTGAAACAAAATGTTCAAACAAATCACATACATCAAACTTAAAAAGCGGAGTGTTGGCGGGAAGGTTTATTTGTGGACTGCTGCAAAGGCTTCCACCCACCTGAAAAATTTCAATCCATCTGGAAATATCACAGCAAAAATACCAGCAGATTTATTGTAAAGGATCCTACCGTAACCCACACAGCTGGTAAAGAACCTCTCCAACCACCAGTCACAATAACAACTTGGTAATCCATTTCTAAACATCAGAACTTGTGAACAGGTTTTCAGTAAAAGATATGTTCTCTCTTGGCCATTGAAAAAAATTAGAACAATTCATTTTTTGACTTCAGACCCAGTACAGGATCGACATTTGTTCAAACACTGAAACGATTTTAAAAAGAAACACATGCTTGTTCTCGTGAAGGTATTCGTGAAGCAACGGAACTGAGCAGCGTTGAGTGATAGGATATGGTACAAGAACTGTTCTCTTTCATCCTCGGATCGAACAAACGCATAAGGTTTGTATAATTCGCTGAAAAAGATTAAAAAATAGGGTTTAGCAGACACATGCAAGTGTAGAAGAAAGATACCTCAATAGTCGCGTGTTCCCAAGTAGAGTTGCAAGATGTCGATGCAAAAGCTTGCGTTCTAATGCTAATCGCACAAAAGCTCTCGCGTAACCAATATCTGTTTTTATTTCCGTCATTCGAAGAACGTTCCTAGAATCCAACAAAAAAGTGGCACAGATATTCAATACAATCAAGATATTCAAAATCTGACTAAAAATCCATATCATATAAGCAGTTGTGTTCATAAAAGATAACGATTACATTTTGATCAGCTTCTTCGCAATTTATTTAGACACAAAAAGTCAGAAAAAAAACCCACTTCAAGTCGTACGCAACATGAGTAGGTAGTGGTGCTAGCAAAACTCTTGGTCCTGTTTCAGGGCTTCTTGGACGACTCTGTGATCTCCTTCGCGGTGAACTCGTTACATCCGCACCTCCACTGAGCTCATTATTCCAACTTGGACTTGTGAAATCTAAACGATTTCTGTAAATAAGTGAACTGGGTGAGCAAAAACACAAACAAAGCCATCTCCCAACACAAGCAGTTAAATGAGCATAACTAACTATGTGGTCATATTACTAGCACAAAGCATTTTTAAACCCTTCAGCAAACTAGTCAACGTGTAGGAGTTAAGATATGGACGAATACTATGTACCCAAAAATAAAATTCAATGAAAAAATGCTTCTTTTGTAATTTCCAACCGAAACTTCCAAGAATATCATCGAGCAGTCGAGTACTGGATTATGAACGGATATAAGTAATTCACACACGTGCATTCACGGCAATGAACGTGCAAGCATGCAATGAAAGTTAGTCGATGTTAGCATGCCATAGCAATTCATACATGCAACACCTTTTCACCCACCACCAACTGAAACCGACTTCTTCATAGTGGATTGTGGCATCGCCGATCTGCGTTGTGTGAAAGCCGTAGACAAATTCCCAGTATCCTCCTCTTTTGGTGCATTGGTCAATTTATCTGCGAGAAAATTCGCTGCCCGTAAAATTGACCGTGACCAAGCAGGTGTATTCTCGTCGTCGCCTTTCCCAAGTTCTCGCTGAATTGACTCGACGAGATCCGATATGGCGCCCGCGAAGTCGTTTTCATTGGCAGGCTGCAGAATCACCGGCGCAGGGACTTCACAGTGAGGCAACGAAGGAGCTCGTTTCATCAGACCTCCTGTCACAAACACAACCACAATCACAATATGGAAAGAAGGCAGAACAATATCCATACATTATGACTATGTAGCATCATTCCATAATATCTTGCGGTTTGCTCCGCAAAAAAAATCTTATCAGAATTTTTCAAGAATAATCCAACCCCAAAGAGCAAATGAACTTTTCACACTTGTAGTGAAAAAACTTTTTTTCATTTGTTTAATGGTGATAATTTCAATGACAAAAACACTAAAAGTTTGAGATAAAATCTGCAAAAAATCAGTTTTGTTTTGTGCAAACAGCTAGTTGAGGAAAATTTGTAATGATTTTGCTAGAGCTTACTATATAAAAACTGCAAGTTACAATACACATTTTGCTGTGTGTCGTAATACAAAAATCTTCAAAAAATACTAACTTGGCATGTATGCAATAAATCATGAAATTTTGAGACATTTCATAATTTTTGGAACGAACCAGCTGCTACAAATCACATTACTTAAGCGACGCACGCGATGCATTCAATAAAAGGGCATACAGTAGCGTCATCAACCAGCATATGCATTCCACTACAATAGCCTATGCAACATATGTTGCAAAATCTTACGTTCGAGGCGCTTCCTGAACACCAACCACGCTAGAGCTGGAGTAAAACATATTGTATAACAGGTGATCACGATCTAGCAACAGGGTCAAGTATGCTGGCAAAAAACTAATCCCTGCAATTTGTTTCTTCTATTAGGTCGACTTGAAAAAGATAATAGTTAGTCTTTTACTTGCTAGAAAATCAGTTGACCAACTCCGAAGAATAAATAGATTAATTTGAGATATATTTCTACAGAGAGAGCAAAATGCATTTGGTAAACCTGAAATTGAGCTCTTAATCCTAAAGCTATTACCAAAATTACCGCGTCCCAATGAAATATGGCAAAAGATTTTCCAACACGTGAACGCTTTGTGTCTATACACTTATTACTTAAAGCATAAATTGAAGAGAAGACGAAGAGAAGGAATGTAGAATCACTTTTACCAAAATACCTAAAATAATGATGTCAGATAGTGGAAGCAGAAGAACGTCCCTAATTATGCTTTAGGTACGCCTTATTTAAAAAGATGCTTAAAACAAGGTTTTGCACAAAAAGCAATGGTCTTTGATTAGTTAACAGTATCATTCGGTAGTTGGTACGTATCACCTGTGAACAAATTGGGCTTACTGACATCAGTATGAGATTTTTAGGCTATAAAAAACAAGATTCTATACCCCTCTCGCTGCATACTTGACCCTGTATGAAAGTATTAACAAAAAATACAACATTTAAATGGAAGAACTAAAAAAGACGACCAATCATGACAATGTGGAACATTTTAGAGATTGAAATCAAAAACGAATACTATACCTGGAGTAAGCATAGAAGAAGACATTGTTCGCGTTGACAGACCTGTCTTTTCTAAATCCTGATGCTGTAGAACGTAGCTCCAAAGAGATGATTTGCCCTAGAAAGACCAACTTATCCTGTAATCCAATTTATCAAAAAGAAAAATTACGGATTTCAATATAAATGGCATGAAAGCCCAATCATACTGTACACTCAAAGCAAATGTCTACTAATGAGATCGCAAGTAGATAGTCTGTAACTACTGGAGAACGGAGGAATATCCAGGAGGATTTAATTATCGCTAAATTACTTTTCATTTCGGTCCACTGTTCAGTCACATTGAAAAGATCAGAAAAGATCCGAGTATACTGTTACTATATGTGAATATTCACTACTGACATACTTCTTTGGAAATTCAAAGTAATAAGCTTGAGTAGATACTTCTATAAACTTCCTGAAATATGAGTTTGTTTGTTATCTTATATCCATTGTAATAATGATATCCCTTAATGTCATTAATTGCAACTGGACATCTAGAAATAGGAATTCCTAACCTGTTTTTTTACAAGCCCGTGAGCCCATATCCTCTCCAAAAGATCGCAGAAGGAGGCAACAAGTGTATTCTCTTCAACTCCCGTAATTCCAGCGTCCAGGTGGCCCAGCTGCACCGCTTCTTTGCCCATTTTGTCAACAAGCATACGTTTTGTCTTCCCTGCAACAAAACGCAATAACAGATGTGCCGATTGGGACCAAAATAAAAGCGGTAAAAACTCAACGAAAAAAAAAGATATTGAAGATACAAGAACCCTCAGGTTGGTTTTTAACAAAATACCTCATAAGTTCTCTTCTTCACAATGTATTCCCACGATTTTAACTATGTTGAAAAGAGATAATGTTTTCTGTTTTAGGCATTATAAAAAGTCAAAAAAATTCAGAGATATTTGCCGATGGCAATACAGAAAGTTAGAATATTTGTCAAAGTGTTAACCGAAAAATCACATTTTTGATAATACATTTTTTAGATGAAAAAGTCATAGCACCTGCTGGAATCAATGGTGATCGGGCACTGATCCCACTACGATGTAAATCCATCATCACTTCTTGGAGGCTAGCAAGAGTGAAACAAAGGACTGATCTTTTTTGAATGATAGTCAATATCGGAAAGCTAGCATTCGCTGCAGTCTTGATGCCGTAGTGACCGCTACGTATCTAGCAAACTTTGCAATAATTCTCCGCAAGCAAACCGCAAAAGTTCTTGATTGTGTGTGTGCTATCGAGCGCTCAACAAGACCAGCGCTGGAAGTTGTGATTGTGAAGATAAAAATGTCATGCGCACTAAAAGCAAATTGTGAAATGAATATGTACGCGCTGAATAGACCAGGCAATGCTCTTCGCAACTTAACCATCTTATGCTATCTAAATTTTTCTACATGCTTTCTCTCGATTGCACCTTCTATGAAACCAAGCTGTGAGAACTTCGACGGCTTGTATAAAAATGTCAGCGATCTGGATTGGAAACATATTCCGCAGTTAACGAAAGAGCAACAAAATCAGATAGAATTTAAGTTGTTGATGATTGTAATTCGATAACATTTTCTCATTCGTTGAAATTGCACCAAAAGATGAAAAAAAAA